GTCGCTCGTCACGCTCTTCGGTTTTGTCGACACTGTCACCATCGTCACCAAGCCCAGCACCACTAGCTTTCTGGGTCGATACCGGCACATCCGGCTCGCCGTTCGCTCCATCGTTGTTCTCGATCGTTGCTCTACTGCTCGCCGCTCGAAGCGTTGTCTCCGTCGCCCGTGGCGCTTCAAGACGTCGTCGTGCGGCTCGAGCCAGCGGACCCGTAGCTCCAGTCGCCTCCGTCTTATCGGGGTTATCACTCGCCTCCTCCAGCCTTGATCATCTCTTCCTGGGCTTCGGGACCGAGGTTGCTGTCCCTGTTCTAGTCACAATCTCCGTCGTTGCCAACTGCGCGCCCGCCGAGTCCTCACCAGTCGTCTCTGTCACCGCTGGCTCACCGTGAGGTTCGTGCCTCGTTAAGGCCTGCCCGTCGTCTGGTTCTCCGCTTGGCCGCTCGTCTAGAGTTACACCCACCACGCTACCATCCTCAGTGCCTAGAGGGTCACTCGCATCCTGTGCTGCCGCGCTCGACACGCTCGCGGCGCCCGACGTGCTGCCATCCTGTGCAACTTTCGTGCCGTTCATCACGTCGGTCACGCTTTCCGCGTCCGTAGTACTCGCACCGTCCACCATGTCCGCACCACTTGCCTTACTCGTCATGCCCATCTCGTTCATCACACCGACGACGTCGTTTATAGCAGAATCTGTCTTGTCGACCGCAGCACGCTGCTTGCCACGCCGTCACCTACCAACCGCTTACGCCATTTTCACCGGTGCTCTTGACAGAGCATCTGCAACCACATTAGTACTGCTCGGTCGGTACTCCACGTCAAACTCGAATCCTGAAGTGTTAACGCCCACCGGTGCAACTTTCCAGTCAAGTTCGGGCTGGACATCAACCACTTCAACGCTGCGTGGATCAGTCACGATCGTGAACTTACGACCGTATAAGTAGGGTCTAGACAACTTAATGGACCACACGACTGCCAAGCATTCCTGCTCAGTAATTCCATAATTCGCTTCAGTCACACTATTCACTTTTGCTTGCGTAAGCCATTGGCTGCCATCCATCGCCGTGGTCTTGCATCAAGCAGGCGCCGAGCCCCATCTTACTCGCGTATCTTACCAATCTGAACGGCAGTGCAAAGTTCGGGTAAATGAGTAAGGGCTTAGTCGTCAAGACCGCCTTCACGTGTTCAAAGGCTGACTGCTGTGCCGCCGTCTATTCCCAGGGTGCGTTCTTGCGTAACAGCTTCGTCATCGGCGCCATGAGGAAGCCAAACCCGTCAATGAAACGTCTATAATAGCCAGCCAAGTGTACAAACCGCTTGACCTCCGCTGCGTCAACCGGCCGTGGAAAATCTTTCACCGCCGTCACCAATCGTTCCAATGGCCGCACGCCATCGGAGCTGAGCTCGTGTTCCAAGCACTCGATCATCGTTGTTGCAAACACACACTTCTTGAGCTTGTGTGAGGCCCGCAGCCTCCAGACGCTCCAACACGCACGCCAACTAGAGCACATGACGCTCGATACCACCACGAGTAAAGACCACGATATCATCTAGGTAAACAAGACAAGCGAGCCACGTAAGCCCTCTCAACACGCTATTCATCATACGTTGGAAGGTCAACGGAGCGTTGGTCAGCCCAAACGGCATCCGTACGAACTGATACAGGCCTTGTTTTGTCATGAACGCCGTCTTGACCTTGTCCTTGGCTGCAACGTGTATCTGCCAGTACCCGGCCTTCAAGTCGAGTGTCGTAAACAGCAACGCGCTGCCCAATGCCTCCAGAGTCTCGTCAATTGGTGGCAACAGGTACACGTCCTTGTTCGTCACCTTGTTGAGCGCTCTATAATCGATACAGAAACGCACTTCGCCATCCTCTTCCTGACGAGAACCAAGCGCCCTCACCTTCTTCTATGACGCCTGTCGATAACATCTTCTGTACATTATACTCCACTGTGACATCCTCCGTCTGTGCAATTCGCCGTCGCTTCATCATGATGGGTGCTTCGTCGCCCGTGTCGATGTAGTGCTCTATATTAACCATAGTGGCTAATGGACAGTCGTCCGTGTTCTCCGTCGTCTTCCGGTATGCTCTCAGTAGTTGCAGTTCGAGTCGCCGACTTTCAGCGTCAGTCTCACCGATGTGCACGTCTTCCTCGTTGGCCAAGGGCTCGTCGACATTACCCAACTCACGCAGCCAAACATTAAGTCGTTCACGTTGTAACTCTCCATTGACTGACTCCCAATACAGATATGTTCTCGTCTATCGGGATCCACGTTCCTAGTTCTCTCTTCGCCGGTAATCGTGTTTGTTCATCACTCGAGTTAATCGCTTGCCATTCTTCACTCTCGTCACGGTCGCCTCCAACATCACAGGCCCGACGTACTGCGTGGGCACGAACAGCGCCATCGTCTGCGGTTATCGCCACTTCAACCGGAGTCACAGAAGTGCCGTCCAACCGTGTCCTCCTGGCCATGCGTACCGCAGTGATCTTGGCACCTCCGGCCTTGTCAAGAGTCATGAACGGTATGACCAGTCTCCGTCCACCGTCACTGTAGCGTATCTCGTTGTTATGGAAGTCCACTCCCAATAGAAATTCGTCGGTACAGCCTTGAACGATGCAGGCATCAACACTGATCGCCCCGTCAAACACGTTGTACATGTTGAAGTGCCACACTCCGACTACGTCGAGCAGGACGCCACCAATGCCCTCCACGTAGTCCACTGGCGCCGTCGTCTCTACGCCATCTCCAAACTGCACCCAGTCAGTACCAGCCACAATATATCTTGCTCCACTATCGAGCTTAACACTGCGTTGCACACCGTCGATGCTCATCAGAGATGTAGGAAGTTCGTCATCGGCACCGACGTACACCACACTGTCCACGTTCTTCCGTTCCGCGTCTCGGTGTTGCACCAGGCTCACCCGTGCCGGCTCACCGCCAACCTGTACGCGCTCCTCGTCACTTCGCACGACTCGTCGTTCTTCGAACTGCTCCATGGCCTCTTCTCGCTCTCGTCGACGCGCAGCTCGTCGTTCCTCATCAACGCCTCGTCAACGTCTCGTTCAATACGACGCCGACGCTCTCGGGCTTGTTTGGCCTTCTCGCGTTTCGTCGCCTTGCGTGCTTTCCTTCTTGCCAGCCGAACCTGCGCGATGCCGTCGCCTTCGCCACTCGACTCGCCCTTGGTCACTTCAACCGTGTGCGTCACGCTGGTCCCTGAACCTTCTCCAGACTGAAATCGAACATTACCGTCACTAGGTCGGTTGTGGTCATCATCACCTCGTCGTCCTTTGGCTTCATCACCACCCGAGCACACGGCATCAGCAGCAACACGCACAAACCGCACCACCACCAGAGCAGGCCTCACCGTACACACATATCGTCTCGCACGCTCATCTACCCACTGCAGGCCAGTTCGGTGTCTGTCTGTGTGTCCGAACGTCCGTGTGTTCAACGTCTTAGCGCATAAACCTAACGGGTTGCCTTGGCTACACCTCTCTTTTACGGCAATACCACCTATCTTTTAGCCTACCCCTACCTACTAGAATGCTCTCAGAAATACATAAATTACAAATATAGCCCAATAACGGTCACGCTTTTCTGCGACATCCATATTGGTCAATTTAAATTCTAGAATTCTTTCATTTACAAAAGCAAACGGCGTTGGCAGCGACAGAGCTCATTAC